GCCGCGCATTTATAATACTACAGTCTGGCGCATACTTTCCTGTAAATTTCGACATACTAAAACGCTGTTTTCTGACTATCAGAATTCTGTTAAATCTTTCCCCAAAGTCCAGGAAATGGCATTTTAGAGACTCTAAATTTAAAAATTTCCTCGGGCCTTCGGCCCTCGCTTTCAGCCCCCCCAATCGAAAAGAGCTTCCTACGGCCCTGAGGGTGTATTTCCGAACGATCTTATTGATCGCAAATATTGATTTGGCACAGAATGATCCCAAAGATCCATTAGGGACCGGTCATAAAGTGAAAGGGGGGTGGGCTGGGAAAAATAGGGGGTGGCTCACTATTTTTGAGCACGGTTGAAGGGGTGGTCATCGAAAGTTAAGTGCAATCATAAGGGTTGGCCATGTAAAAATATGCAGAAGATTGGACCACAGTCATTTTTTTGTGTTAAAAATTTCCGCGCAAAGAACAAGATACCTGTTTTTTGGGCTAAGTACCGAAATTTGGTGTGAAAAATTAAGATAAAGTCAATTGCAACATACTCGTCCGGAAAAATTTTTACCTAAAAAAGTTGTCGACGGGGTGGGGGGCGGGAGGTTCGTGTCCGAAAAAAAATTTTTCCGGAAAAAATTGGAAAAGGGGTGGGTCATTTGGTATAATTATATATTTGAAAGTATGATTTGAAGCGAATGAAAAGCCAAATTTCGAAAATTCGGTGAAAATTTCGGATTATTAAAAGCTGGATAAAAAAAAGCTTTTATAGTTTCATTGGCATTGCTGTCGATGCTTTTCTACTAGTCAACAAGACAACAGAATTAGGTAAACTAAGTAAAATTATTTATTTTTTCGAATCTTTTTACAGCATGGTGCCATGGACATGCTTGAAAAATGTTTTTTGACAGACAACTACAAATTTTAGTTGCCAAAAAAAAATTTGTTCATTTTACAACATTTATATAAATTTAATGTATTTCTTTTAAGGTATTTCTTTTAAATTTTATGCTTAATAAGGACAAGTTTTACGTTGTAAGCTTATAGATTGTTCAACTAGCTGATCAAGAAAAAACCGTACAAAAATGATGACATTAGAGAGGTTAAGATACCCCGGTTTCGGTGTATGTGTACGGGTAGCATGATTTTGGTTAGCAACATTTTCGTCCGGATGTCTGTACTTTTACTCGTAATTAAGGTGCACATTTTTCGCATTATATCATTGTCTATTGCAAGAAAACAGAAAAAGTATGATCGAATCACAGACATCAGTAAAACAAGACTGACACTACTCGTACCCGTACACCGAAACCGGGGTATCTTAACCTCTTTAATAATTCTAATACACGGTCATAAATTATTTCCTTAGACTTTAGTATTCCTGCACTGGGTTATAGATTCATATTTCGCTGTAGATTCGTGTTTGCTTGTTTGTTTGTTTGTTTGTTTGTTTGTTTGTTTGTTTGTTTGTTTGCTTGCTTGCTTGTTTGCTTGCTTGCTTGCTTGCTTGCTCGCTTGCTTGCTTGTTTGCTTGTTTGTTTGTTTGTATGTTTGTTTATGTTCGTTTATGTTCGTTTATGTTCGTTTATGTTCGTTTATGTTCGTTTATGTTCGTTT